CCCTCTCCGGTGGGCTGGCCCATCTTGCTTTTTTTCTTTGTTTTTTTGAAACGCAAAAAAGGTCTGCTAGTGCAGTAATTCGAACCGGAGACGTCCTGCTAAACTGCACACTGCGTTAACCACCCCGCCATCTGCAATAGAACGTTCTAGTTTTATCCTTTTCTATCTTTAATTCTTTCTTTTTTGTTTTCTGTTTTTGTTTTTTCTTTTCTTTTTCGTTTTTATTTTTCTTCTTCCTGTGTTCGACGAACTTTTTTCAAATTCGTGAAATTTTTCTTCAAATTTGATGAAGTTTTTTCAAATTCAATGAAATTTTTCTTCAAATTTGATGAAGTTTTTTCAAATTCAATGAAATCTTTTTCGAATTTGATGAACTTTTTCCATATTAGATGAACTTTTTTGAATTCAATGAACTTTTTCCAAATTTGATGAACTTTTTTTTAAATTCGATGAACTTTTTTTCGAATTCGATGAACTTTTATCAAATCCGACAAACTTTTTTCAAATTCGATGAACTTTTTAGGCAAGTCAGTAAACAGCTGGGAAGCTAACAAACACCTACCTGGGCCGCAGCCCAGAAGCGAGCACCCGCAGACGTTGCCCCAAATTTTAGGCAAGTGACGTATAGGGCCAACCCAGTAGCCCCGCTCGCTTGCTGATATCAAGTTACTTCCTTGTTTTCTAAAAAACAAATAGTTTTTTATTTTTCATTTAAATTTCTCGCTTTATTTTCACTTAGATATACAATGAAGCTATTCATCACCCAAGGGGAAAAATAATTTATTCTTCACCCAAGGTAATTTCACGATCGTTTCATAAATAAATTACATTTGAAATACAAATAGTTACATTCATATTGATTCACTATGTATAGTTTGGCATAGGAAAAGGAAAATATAGGTCATAAGACCAAAAAAATTTATTTTATGTATATTTTACACTATAATTTTACGTCTGTAATTTTACATGACATAAAATATTTTTTATGGTGAATATATATTTTCTTACATTCTTTTCTTATGTTTGAAATAAGAGAAAATTTACGGAACATAAAATTACGGTGCATTGATGTTAAAATAGAGGGGGGGGGTGAAAAATAACTATCCCTCACCATGAATAGTCAATCTCATATATATTTTTGGAGTGTGTGTGTGTGTGTGTGTGTGTGTGTGTGTGTGTGTGTGTGTGTGTTAATTTAGCATTTAAAAATGTTAAACATGTATAGAATACATGCTTTTATATGTAAGAAAAATGTACAATGTTGATAAAAAAGTAGAAAAGTCTATGAAAAATGTTTATACATTGTAAGAACAATATTTGTGGAGTTCAGAAAAATGTATGTCTCATTAAATTTTTTTTTGACAAGTTTCAAAAAATGTGTTTGGAACATATAAAAAAATTGGACAAAGTAAAAAGTAGTTTGAATGGTTCAGAAAAAATGTGTTTATCATAAAAGAAATGTTCAATTGTATTGAAAAATATATTTTACACGTATTTGTTAAAAAGATCAAAGCATGGTCTTACAAAAAATGTTTTTGAAAAATGTGAAACATTTTAAAAATGTTTATATGTATACAAAAATGTAAAACATGTATGAAAAACGTAGACATCAAAAAATATTATCATGTATTTGAAAAATGTTAAACATGTGTAAACAAATGTTCCTAATGTATATAAAAAATGTACAATATGTATGAAAAATGAAGAGATGTGTTGAAAAGAAGAAAAAACTGACAAAAACCAATAAAACCGTCAGATACACAAAAGAAAATTAAGAAAGAAAGAAAATGAAGAAAAAACTGAAAGAAGACAAAGAAAGAACAAAAGAATATTGAAGAATGAAAGAAAAAACAATGAAAAAAGAAAGAAAACTGGAGTAAAAATGAAGTAAGAAAGAAATCCTGAGGAAAGCCAATGAGGAGACAAAAAAAACAGTGTAAAAACAACGAAAGAAAGAAAACTTGAGGAAACCCTGTGGGAAAACAAAAAGTCCAAAGTATAAATGAAAAAACAAAGAAAACTGTAAACAAACAAAAATACAACAAGAAAACAAAAAACCAAAGAAGAAGAAGAAGAAACCCGACAAATTGAACATACAATGATCGATACGGGCGGCAGCTACTACCGCTAAAGTGGCCAGCCCGCTAGTGTGTCGCCCATAGGTGATTCCTATTAGGAATCAGTACGAATGACCCATAGGTCTCGCGGTATTAGGACTGCCTAATTTGTAGACGAAATGAAAGATATATATGCATTATCACAATCTTTTTGTATGACCTGGGCTTAAATATGTCTAGAGCTCAGCCCAACTTCCGGGTGGGCATGTAAGCACAACACATATTCGGTGGGAGCACCACACGCTTGAGACCTCCTCTTTCGCTTGGCTATCCGAGGGAAGATGTCTTACGAGGTGGGTTGGACAAAGTACATAGTGAGCCTGATGCTATCAGTGTGAAGATGAGCATCTATCTTTCTTTTCAGGAAGCAGCACAGCGGAGTCATCATATTATCATATTCTTGAGTCTCTCCCCACGGGATGACCGCTTCTGCCATACTCTATTTCTATTGGTTCAGCTTAGATTTCTTGGTTATCTACATCTGTCTAATCCTTATCAATAAGAACAGAATCACTAAGCTATGGATGCTTGGGTCGCACTCTCT